AAGACTCCCATGTTTTCTAGACAATCTGATCACAGATGCATGTGATGCTGTTAACCTTACACGCTGGCCGCCCTTTGGCCCAGGAAGATTCCTGGTACTCATTTCTGTTAAAGGCTGAGTTGACCCCAAAGCCAAAGTGCAGCTGGAAGGATTAGGTCAATTGAAAAATCCTATGACCTCATCGGGACTCGATCCCGTGACCTTCCGGCTTGTAGCATAGTGCCTCAACCATGTTACTGTCTCTCCCTATCTCCTACCATAAATAAACCACATACTAAAATACTGGGGATCATGTGGAAAGAAAATATGGGCTCTCTTTAGCCCAACTTAGTAAAAGAAGAAAATATTTGGTGATTAAGACAACGCACAATCACATCAGCATGAGCTGATATGTACAACTCTAAGGGCAAGGGAAGACCAAGGAAACTGGCAACCTCAATTTGCACTGCTCCATTCAGCAACGGTGTCTTCAACTCAAGGCTGGTAACAGNAAATAAAATTTAGTTTTGGTTAACTATGAAACTTTAGATGTGCTACTCCTTGTATGCAACCTAAGCACATCAGTTACTTTTATTAGAACGAAGAAACCTTATCTGCATAAAATTAGGGCCATTTCCATGGTGTACACAAGCTCCTGCAAGTTTCTCAGCTGGCCATAAGACGCTTGAAGATCTCGCTCTTGGCACTTCACCTTTTTCATCAGTATCTTCGCATGACTGATATAAAGAAACAAACAAAAAAGCTGTTAACACATCTATACAATGATAAAATTACTCTACAGAAAAAAAACTACAATGGCAACTTCTCCATATTTGTGACATATTCAAAATGTGGTGGGTTGTTGGGTCATTGGATGCAAGACTGACAACCTTGGTCTGCTAAAATAAATTGCTGCTATGAAACCAAAATGAGTGAAAACCAGATCAAATCTGGCAGAAAATTTAAGGAAGTCTATCACTCAAAAAGTGCTGCCTTGCCAAAGTGATGATGATGGTGTCTGTTCATCATTTTCATATTTTGCCTTCTGCTATTCAAATTCTACCAATATGTCCACTTCACTATGCTGCGTGCTACAAAAGCTGTTCAGTAGGTCATCCACATAATGCACATAACATAGCCATCACATAAAAAATATCTGCTAAAAGTAGGAAGCAGACAAACGCCCATACAAGATAATGTAAATATGCAGCAGTACTTCACTAACAACTTCTGGGGTAATTCAGACATTTAAAATTATAGTACAACTACCACACATAGCATTTATAATTACGTAAGTAAAAACTCACTCTTCTTTTCCATCTTTCAGTAGTTTAATCGTCACTTCTCTATCTTTTCGCAGACATTTTCTTGTCCTCCTCTGATATTCGATCATTCCATCTCTCTGCCGCTTTAGTCCCTAAAATTAAACATACGAACATACAATAACATAATGCAATTTACTTTTATAAAAATACACTCATAATTACAACTTATGAGCAGAAAATAAATAAATACGCAAACAAAATAATTCAAACCTAAGGTGATTTCCACATTACTACTCCTACTGAACAAACATGACACCATAGCAACAAAAGAATCCATCTTACCAAAACGAATCTCTCTATTTCCTCCTCCTTACTCCTTGTCTTCTTACTCTTGCAAAATAACAAGCCCATTCTTACTTATACACCAGTATTACAAATTAAAGACCAAACTGACTGACTGACCGTTATTCACACTTGACTTCACACACCTGTAGAAGCGTAACTGTAACATCATTAGTGGGTTCCGTGGTTGCATGCCAACGTGCTGCCACCTGTGCCTCATTCTCTACAAACAGAACTTCTGTAAAACTACAAGTTACAAAGTTAATATTAAGCTGCACATTCATTCTCAAAACACCAAAATATTCACACCGAACATTTTTACATGGGCATAAACGCCAACTCCTTCACAGACAACACGTCAAGATGCGAATTTGAAGCGTAATTAGTGGGCACCGTGGCGCCAAGCATAATGTGCTGCTACCTCTGCGTCATTATCAAAAACACAGAACACCAATTTGAATTTTTGTTACCTGTCACATACACAGTACTAAACGGTACATTCTTTTTTTCACAACACAAACAAGCTCGCACAAAACCATTTCACTCCACGATGGCATCGATAACAACCGACTGACAGCTACCTACTGCTAACACACGAAATTGCGGACACAGCGGCGCCATTCCTAAAGTGCTGCTACCTGTGCGTCCTTCTCAAGAAACAGAACGGATGTTTGGATTTTTATTAAGTCACAGAAAAAGTATTAAACTGCACATTCCTTCTCAAGACACAAACAAACTCGCACCGAACCATTTTACTGCACCATAACAGCGACAAACAGCTGAATGACAGCCATCAGCCACACAGACCTGAAATTTTAGCGTTACTTGTAGACCCGCGGGCGCCATTCGTAATGTGCTGCTACCTGTGCGTCATTCTCAAGAAACAGAAGGGCATTTCGTTTTTTGAAATTTCATGTCATAGAAAGAGTATTAAACCGATCATTCCTTCTCAAAACACCAACAAATTCATACCGAACCTCTTTACTCAAAACTCATAACACCTGACTGGCAGGCAACTGCTGTACAGACAAGACACCTTGAGTCCCGATTTTGTAGCGTTTCTAGATTTTCAAATTTCTTGCTACAGAAACAGTATTAAACCGCACAATAGATCACTGCAGGTCGCGGTGCAAGAGCCGATAAGGCCCAACACTTATACATTCAAACCGCACATTCCTTCTCAAAAGACAAACAAATACACATAGAACTATTTAACTCCACCATAACAGCAATAACAGCAGTCTCCAGCCTCCAGTAGAGCCAACAAGGCCAACACACATACACACGCGAAACTTTACCGTTATTAGTGGACATCCTGGAGCCATACCTAAATGTGCTGCTACCTGTGCGTCATTCTCAATAAACAGAACGCCAATTTGTTTTTAAAATTACTTTTCACAGAAACACTATTAAACCCCACATTCCTTCTCAAAACACCAACAAATTCATACCGAACCTCTTTACTCAAAACTCATAACACCTGACTGGCAGCCAACTGCTGTACAGACAAGACACCTTGAGTCCCGATTTTGTAGCGTTTCTAGATTTTCAAATTTCTTGCTACAGAAACAGTATTAAACCGCACAATAGATCACTGCAGGTCGCGGTGCAAGAGCCGATAAGGCCCAACACTTATACATTCAAACCGCACATTCCTTCTCAAAAGACAAACAAATACACATAGAACTATTTAACTCCACCATAACAGCAATAACAGCAGTCTCCAGCCTCCAGTAGAGCCAACAAGGCCAACACACATACACACGCGAAACTTTACCGTTATTAGTGGACATCCTGGAGCCATACCTAAATGTGCTGCTACCTGTGCGTCATTCTCAATAAACAGAACGCCAATTTGTTTTTAAAATTACTTTTCACAGAAACACTATTAAACCCCACATTCCTTCTCAAAACACCAACAAATTCATACCGAACCTCTTTACTCAAAACTCATAACACCTGACTGGCAGCCAACTGCTGTACAGACAAGACACCTTTAGTCCCGATTTTGTAGCGTTTCTAGTGGGCACCGTTGCTCCATGACTAATTTCATGCTATCTGTGTATCATTCTCATTAAGAGAAACAAAGGAAATTTGAATTTGTATTTACTTAAGCATCGTATATCCAACTACTTAGGCGTTAGAATTCTCAATATACAGAAAAGCAAAACAGTCGGACATTATAATAAGTAACATTTCATGTCCAGATGGCAGTTAGAGGTTGATGCTTCTGGTATGAGCTCTCCTTCTATAAATTGCAATAGTTTAAAGGGCGAACTCTCATTATATCTTACTATGCTGTGATTTGTGTTTGTAGTAGTCAGTTCAGAAAAATTTGTGGCAGGCCTTAAGCCCTAAAAAAGGGGTAAGAGTACTGATTGGAATCATGTGGCTGATGAACTGTGCAATGCACACGCAAAATAGATCCTACTAAGGCCAAAAACTGAAGGGAATTGGTACATCACAGAGAAAAGTATTTGAGAAGGAAAGTTTTCATTTTGTCGAGAAAACTTTTGTGGATATGTGATCCAATTCAGTCAGTTCCAATACTCAGACTGGAAAAATATAATTCCTTGCAAGAGTTCAAAATTATGTTAACTGCAGTTATAAAGTTTAAATACGGTGAGCAACAAAACTGAAGATCAAGCTGGTTCTGTGGTTCAAGAATAATACTACACATTAATTCTGAAACATACCAGTAAAAACAGACTCGGAAATACATCAATACTCAAAATATGAGTGTTGTGTGTGCTGATGGCACAGTCCCATGTGTGTCCTACACCATGCAGTCACCTTGATATTTTAACGTCATCTTTTCTAGATAAGGCATTAATCAAAGGATTCCAAGAAATCATCCACCCAAATGGCTGATCGTGCTAACAACCTTTTTAGCCATGCATGAAAGGAATATTCCAAAGGGCCAAGCCCCTGTTATCATTACCGCGGCCTGTCTCCACACTGTATGCGAGAACAGAACTACACAACTGCCTCACATATATTTAAGGCGTGTTGGATGTCCATAAGGACATTATTCTTTTCTTAATTTCAGTATTTGCTTGTATATTCTTACCTAGTCCACCATCTCCATGCAATCTTCTCATTACTNCTGCAGCCAACTCCTGTACAGACAAACCATAAAGATGCGAATTTGAAGGGTAATTAGTGGGCACCGTGGCGCCAAGCCTAATGTGCTGCTACCTCTGCGTCATTATCCAAAAACAGAACAGCAATTTGAATTTTTGTTACCTGTCACATACACAGTACTAAACGACACATTCTTTTTTTCACAGCACAAACAAACTCGCACCAAACCATTTCACTCCACGACAGCATCGATAACAGCCGACTGACAGCCATCTACTGCACAGACAAACCACCCACACACGAAATTGCCGACACAGTGGCGCCATTCTTAAAGTGCTGCTACCTGTGCGTCCTTCTCAAGGAAACACAACGGATGTTAGGATTTTTATTAAGTCATACTAAAACTATTAAACTGCACATTCGTTCTCAAAACAGAAACAAATTCACACCGAACCATTTAACTTCACCATAACAGCCATAACGGTCGACTGACAGCAATCTCCTGCACAGCCAACACACCTAGACACGCGAAATTGTACGGAATCACTGCAGCGCGTTAAAGAATAGCTGATTTCTGAGAATACACGCGGTAACTCAGTCGAACTCGGTCGTGTGGGTCAGTGAAGACTATCATGATCGATCATGATCATCATGATGCGTTGCCTGGAATTTGAGCTTCTCAGTTTCCCTGCAAGTTCGGCAGCAGCCGCGCCCTCTGAAATCATCTGAAGTCTAGACTTTTTAAAATGCTGTGTGAGGAAATCGGTGCCGGACACACTGCTCTGTTGGTTTTTAGTGATTCTCGATGGCTTTCAAGAGGCAAGGTATTAATGAGAATGTTTAAGCTGAGACATGAGGTGTTCTGTTTTTTAAATGGGGAAAATTACTTACTGGCAGACAGGTTCAGCAACAAGGATTTCTTTTATTGAAAATGGCTTGCCTCACAGATATATTTGAGAAACTAAAATCCTCAACACTTCACTTCAAGGGAAGAAGGCAACTGTACTTTCCTGGCATGACAAAGTGAAGGCATTCATGAGAAAATTAGAGGTCTGGAGAAACAGTATGGAAAGTGACACGCTAGATATGTTCCCTACTCTGGTGTCAATGGTACAAGACACTGATGATCCAGTGTTTCCAATGGACATAAAAAGCTGCCTACTTGATCATCTCATAATGTTGAAAGTTCATTTCGAAAAATACTTTTGCAATGATTTTGATAAATTTAATTGGATTAAAAATCCATTCGAAAATGCTCCTGGACCATCCTCTGTGAATGTAAATGAGCAAGAACCACTCATCGCTCTCACTAGTGATACTTCATTAAAAAGTAAATTTAAGGAATTGTCTTTGTTGGAGTTCTGTATACACATTGGCACGGAATTCCAAACTTTGAGCCAAGAAGCATTGAAAATCCTGATTCCTTTCGCAACCACTTACTTACGCGAGACAGGCTTTTCTGCTTCGACAGCTATAAAGTCAAAGTATCGTTCAAGGCTAAATATTGCTAAAGAAATTAGAATGGCAATTTCTGATATTACGCCACGTTTTGATAAACTTTGTTCTCAAAAGCAGGCCCATCAATCACACTGAACTTTGACATTTAAATGTTTGATTTTCTTTACAGAAAAAATTAAATACTTGTTAGTTAAGTATCGTTTCATTTTAATATATATTTTGGTTAATTGCAAGTTAAATGATATAAACTCCGTCTCAAGTGCAAACAATATATTTTGTGTCTTTGAGCTTGCTCCCTACACTACATGTTTCGGCCTCAGACGGCCATCATCAGGTGTATAACACTCACGTCGCTGTCACACTGCACCCAGTTCAAAATTTAACATCTAAAACACTCTCCCTGTCATTATCAAATTCTACTTCGTTGATAGCTGTCCACCCGTAGATTACTTCACACACGTTAATTTTGAGTTTATTGTAATAGCACCATAATAAAATCTTTAGTTCTAATTTTAAACCTTTAAATTCTTGTCCATATTTAAAAATTTTAAAATTGTTAGGGTTATTCGCCCTGTGTTTGAAGTGCTGCAGCGGCTAGTTCTTGTTTCCACACTGTATAGGTGTTATC